AAATAAAATTAAAATGTAATTTTTTTTAAAAAAAATATATATTTTCTTTACATTTAAAAAAAGTCAAAAAGTATGATTCTTACAGTTTGACTTAAACCACATTTTACATTGCATTTCCTTAAAATTACCAGCCAAAAACTGGCGAGTAACTCGCAAAAAAGCCAATTTTTCGTGCATTTGGCACTTGTTACTGTTCATTTTGGACCTTGGTGTCCCCGTTTGAAAAACCAGATGAAGCAGGTTCTCTGTTTACAGCGCCATTATTAAAGACATGAGATCATGCACAGTTGCTCATTTGATCCTTGCCAGAGATAATAAAAATGCACTTGATAGACTCATTTTGTAACATCAGACCTTCAACCGCAGTTTGTGATGGATGTCTTATCGGTCTGAGAGGGAGAGGGAGAGAGAGAAAGAGACGGATTGTGAATAAGAGAAAGTGTGTCATGGTCCAGAGGAAAGTAATAAAACTGTACAAAACATTAAAAATTGTCCCTGTGTGCTTTGGCTGATAGTACTGCCCACATATTGCTTCATCTCCGTCATAGCTTCTGAACGTATCACAGGTATCGGTGAGAAACCTTTAAAAAAATCGTATTTTCTGGTTCGGTATGTATGACTGGACTGGCAGGCGGAGTTCCGGATAAACTTAATAGCTCTGTTCCACAACCTAGTGAGCTGTCTCGCCTACTGCCTCATAAGTGATGGAACCTCATAAGTGACTGATTTGAAACACTCTATATGCAGGAAATCTGTAAATCATACAAATTGAAGCTCATTGGAGACCTGACTTGGATAAAATAGTCAGTACTTAGTCATTTTGAAAAATGTTCAATATTGAATGAATTATAAGTATAGTTATAATTGAGTGTTTCTGTTGGAATCAACTAATATGGGACCGATATATTTTTTACACTTTTAAAAAATGTGTTTATCGTACAGAATTAGTGCAATAGGTTCTGAATTTGAGATTGCAATGAGATTGACTTCATTTGATGCAGCTAACCACAAGCTCTTATGCAAATTACAGTCACCCTGAACTATGAGTCAAGGGCACGCCGCACGCTGTGCTCATGAAATACTCTATAATCCTCAAAAGGCACTTAATTGCCTGTCTAACCAAGTGAAAGGGATATCAAATTCTGGAGTACATGTTACACAAAAGGTCATGTGTGCTTAGTTGAATCTAAGGTTGCTTGGTGTCAGCACACTTTGGGTATGTAAACTGCTTTGAGTCAGACATACATTGGCTTTTAGATTTAAAAATAAATGCTCATATGTTTTATTCTCAATCAAAATAACAGATATAATTTTGTTGGCAGGGAGCGTATTCCCATGTTGCATATCCATCTTATGAGAACCCTCAGTCTACACCGCACAGCAACAGCAGGTGTTATTTGAGACAAGATGAGGATTTAGACAAAAGTCCATTTTAATTGGGATTCTTCTAAAGCAAAAACAAAAGGAAAAGAAAAAAAAGAAGAGCCATAGTAAATGTACTAAAAGTGTTATTTCACCCAAAAGAACACTACTTTCGTTCATCTTTGGAACACAAAATTAAAATATATTTAATGAAATCTGAGAGATTTCTGTCCCTCCATTGACGGTTTACACAACTACTGCTTTGAAACTTCAAAAAGTTCATAAAGAGATCTTAAGGCTAATCCAAATGAAGAGTGTCAGTGTGGTTTAGTAAACATTTTCTGAAGGGACTTGATCACTTTATGTGATGAACAGATTAAATTTAGACTAATCTAATTCAACCGTAAATGCTTTGGCAGGCGAGAACAAGCCTCTCTGGACATATTTGTATACATAAACGCCTCATTGGAACTTCATTTTCTCTAAAATCACATCGTAATGTCACAGGACAATTTCAAGTGAATGTGAAGATAATTTGCAGCCCAAACCCTTATTTATTTGAAGCATCTTCACCTTTTCATTTTTATGTGTGGCCTCCTAATCTTATGCTTGCAGTTTAACACACAAATGTTTGTTTTTTTGTTCTTACCATAACAATGTCTTAAGAGAAATTTTATATGATAGTAAAAAAGACATACAATTATTTTCTTTTTAAACAGACAGCATTATTTTTAATTATTTCTGGCAACTTGAAAAAAAAAGTTTTATTGAGAAATCGAAAAAAAAAAAACTCTTCAGACTTACATGTGAAAGGTAATCTCCACGAGAAATGGTTTGGATTGTACGAAGGTTTGTAAAAGCTCAAAATAGTCAGGGTTCTTTTCTCAGTCCAGTTACGGCAAGCTGCCTGGACCAATATGGCGGCGCCGTTGACGTACAATCCATCGGCCAATCAGGATTCTATGTATTTTATATTTTATAGAAATATAAACTTTAAAGAAAACTTTATTGAATTATTTATGAACAAAACAGATAATACAGATAAACAAAACTTTCCTGAACATTCAAATACAGCAACAATGGAAAAAAGGAAGACACTGAAAAATAAATAGTAGTTACATAAATTACAGTAATAAACAATTCAATGCACAGAGGCAGTAGATCAAGTTACTCTACAGTCGTCATACAGTTTCAAAGTTTTTACTGCACATTCTGGTAACTTTCATTGAATAATGGTGTAAATTGCACAATTTCTTCTCAAAAAAACCCCCAACAATGTCTTCAGAAAACTAGTCGTATACTTTTATGGAGCTATTTTGTCTTTTAAGACTACCCTGTTTTATCACTCAAATGAAACACCTCTGTAGCACAGACACAGATGATCCATTTTAATGGTAATAATAGGTAATAATAATAGGACAAATATAAATTTAAAGACTAGAATTTTTATGGGGAAGCAGCAAAGGGTGGATTTAGTGCTCAGACAAATAAGTATTTAGCCATGTCTGGAATGCATTGTCACTGCTCATCTTCCCCTCTTAATTCATGTCTCCTCTTCTAGTCTTGACTGGTACAGAGATGAGCTCCAGGGAGGCATGTAGAGAGTCACACATCGAAACTTACTCAAAACCACATTCTCGCACCTGCATGAGGAGGCTTTATCTGGTGATCTTCGGAGAACTGCAAAATAAGTGTAGCTTCTGTTTGTGAGTAGACAAATAGCAAATAGCGATGATATCGATTAGGCCTGAGAGCGATGCAAATCATCACAGTGAACATTTGTGAAGTCACGAACCACACTCAGACAGTATCAACTGCAACCATACAAATCCAGAAGATTTTGATGATTTATTGCATTTCACAAACCTAGAGACATGACCTGACCTCTCATGTGATTTTTCATTTAAGAGTGGCCAGATATCAAAGCGTGTCATGCTACTTTCTTATGTGGAAGCGCACTGTTGTCATTTCCTTTTATTCTTAATAATCGTGATTTGCACAGTGATTGATGGACTTTTTACAACTGTCGTTTCGTTCCCTGCTTCTATCATGACGTCTAATTGCTTAACCATCCCATAGTCAACCCCCTGGTTCAAATAAAGCTGACAGTCTGCCGGTAAACGTCCTTTTAGACACCCCTCCGCTGCCCCCCTTTCTTCTGCTCGGCCTCTCCAAACCTCCTTCTGTAATTCCCATTACTGTTCAAGACTCAGTCTTCTACATGCAACCCATTCCCCACGATCCCTCGCTCACAGAAACCTCGGCTGCGCTTCATTCACAGTGATTATAATAACGTCTTGTGGTTCAGGTATGAGAAGAACATACCTCAGTCTAGACGTAGGAAGTTTCTTAATGGGCATTCCTGCGCTCCTGCTTTGCGTATTTGCATGGCTAAAGCAAGCATATAGCATTACAGCCTTTAGGAACTATGTGACCACATCGCAAATATCAGAGGTACTCAAAACAGCGTTTTCGTTCAATGCGCGTTTTATTACATCCATTAAAGACGTGTAATGAAAGCCATGAAAATGGATTTCCTGTTTTGGAGGACTCTACAAGGAGCAACAAAAACTCTGGCCCACTGAACTCTGTTGCTGAACAACTTTAAGGGTGATCACGCAAGCACAGCAAACCCTCTAGCATTGCTGTGTGCCTATTTATTTGGGCAGGTAAATGTAATTCCATTTCTGTAACTTCACTGTACCTTTTTATCACAGTAGTCACATTTACAATGCAAGCTTTGAATTCAATGCAACTCAATGCATAACATTTGACAGTGAAGATTCTCAGTTTTCTGGTAGATTATTCTGGCCAGATTAATGACTTTCTGTTTTTCAAGATGTTTCACCTTTTATCCAAGTGGCCAGAGCTGTACATCTGTCAAAGTGGATGGCACAACTTAGATGGACAAACCCCCTTTGACAAGTGTATCTGTACTTAAAAGACAAAGATAACATCCAAGGGCGATGTCAAGATTTTGGTAAACGAGGACCCATCTTTGAAAGAGGGATCCTTTAAACTCTCAGCTACAATTTGACACCAAATAACACATTTAATCTCTACCTCTGCAAGGACACCAACCATTAGCAAGTTTGGAAAAGTCCATGTGAAGAGTGAGAGTCTATTCCACCATAAAAGATGACACTTGAATGAGTTGTGTCTTGAGCAAAAGGAAACATAAAGAACACTCGGTGCATAAAAGCATGCACACATGCCCAAGAGGTTCAGTGAACTCCGATGGCTTCCACAGTCTCAAGATCTCAAAAGAGAACCTGTGGAATGTGGAGAAAGATCATGATTCACATCAAAAATGTCCAGTTTACGTGATGCTACCATGTCAATCGAGACTAGAATGTTTGCAGGGTCTTGCTGAATCATCGCCACAAAACATTACAGCTGTTCTGGGGTCAAATGGCTTCGTAAAAGTTGTACCTGATAATGAGGAACCATGAGTTGAAATTCTCACAACTTTTAAAACTGATCGTGTGCACTTTCTGTTATTATTACCACAGTTTGAGGTGTCAAACAGCAAGAGCTGATGATAATCACTGATTTGTGATCATAAGCTCAAACATCAGTGAAACCGATCAGGTAACTTCCGGGTATGGGTCCCTTGACTCTGTATAAAAGCATGAGACAACATTTCTGTGGTGCATACCGAGTGTGACTGAGCTGTCAACAATGAGCATCCTTTGGTATATAACTGGTCTGCTACTGCTGCGTTCCTGCACTCCAGGTGATCACATCTAATCTACTTATGTGGTTACAAAAGTTTGTTTCTCAGAATATGCTGTCGAATTGTTTCATAAAACTAAACTCTTTCTTAGGTTTCTCCATGCATGATGGTATTGTTGGTGGTAAAGTCTCCATTCCACACAGTCGACCCTACATGGTCTACATTCGTGACTCTCAATCCAAAGCAGTGTGTGATGGTTTTTTGGTAAGAGAGGATTTCGTGATGACAGCCGCCCACTGTAAATATAGGTAGGTGAAATTAATTATCATATTTTGGAATTAAAAAGGATATGAAGAGTTCAGATGCAAAAGCCTCTAAATGCCATTTGAAATTTTCTTCTTTAATGATGATTTTTATCAAACTTGTATATTTAAGTTCAGTAATTTCACTTAAATAACAATTATTTAAGTGAAATTACTGAACTTAAATATACAAGTTTGATAAAAATCATCATTAAAGAAGAAAATTTCAAATGGCATTTAGAGGCTTTTGCATCTGAACTCTTCATATACAACTTGCCTCAAATTCCACAATAAACAAATGATATTGATATCCAAAGTGGCAATATATTTGTATTTAAATATGTTAACACTTTACAATAAGGTTCATTAGTTAACAACCTTAGTTAACATCAACTAAGAATGAACAATACTTCTTCAGAATTTATTGATCTGTTAGTATTAATTTCAACATGTACGTTATTAAAATCAATTAAAGGAGTAGTTCACTTTTAAAAAAAACTTTTGCTGATAATTTACTCGCCCCCATGTCATCCAAGATGTCCATGTCTTTCTTTCTTCAGTTGAAAAGAAATTAAGGTTTTTGATTCCAGGATTTTCTCCATATAATGGACTTCAGTGGGAACCAAACGGTTCAAGGTCCAAATGAGAGTTTCAGTGCATCTTCAAAGGGCTTTAAACAACACTAGACGATGAATAAGGGTCTTATCTAGCGAAACGATCGGCCATTTAAAAAATAAATAAATAAATAAGTTTTATAAGCACAAATGCTCGCCTTGCTCTGTTCTGTGATGAGCGTTCGTGACTCTCCTGTTCAAACTCGTTCATCAAAATGAACAAATCTTTTTTCGAGTCATGACTCGAAGGGTCCTATAAGACCCTTATTCATCGCCTGGTGTCGTTTAAAGCCCTTTGAAGTTGCACTGAAACTCTCATTTCTGAACTGTTTGGTTCCCAATGAAGTCATTATATGAAGAAAATCCTGGAATGTTTTCATCAAAAACCTTAATTTCTTTTCGACTGAAGAAAGAAAGACGTGGACATCTTGGATGACACGGGGGTGAGTAAATTATCAGCAAAAGTTTTTTTAAAAAGTGAACTACTCCTTTGACAAAGATTAATAAATACTGTAACAAATGTATTGCTCATTGTTAGTTCACGCATTTACTAATGTTAACTAATGAACCTGATTGTAAAGTATGACCTGAAATGTATATTTTTTTTAAATTTGGCCTCTGTATCTGTTTATTTTGTTGTTGTCATCTTTAGTCATCTTAAGGTGTATTTAGGCGTCAATGACACCAACTTTTTACCTGACGGTGTAGCTGTAGATCCAATTCCACATCCACATTTCATCAACAATAAACCAGGTCACGACATCATGCTTTTAAAGGTAACGTTGAACCATTTATAATTGGAATTATGCTTTTGAAAAATGGCCTTTCATAATAGGAAATCTGATGTTTGCAGAATATCATTTGGCTAAATCTAATTAAGTTGTATCTAATCTAATGAATACATTCTCTAAAATAAAAAAATAAAATAAAAACAGAAAGAAATATAGAACTTTGCACCTTTCCTTTCAGCTTAAAAGCCCACCAGCAACTTTGAATAAAACTGTGAAGACTGTCCCCTTGCCAGAAAAAGAGAGTCACAAACATTGCATGGTCATGGGTTGGGGCTTGCTGGGTTACCCTGATGGGTCTCATCCATCAAAGGTTCTCAGGGAAGCAAATGTAACTCTGTTGGACTCTAAAAACTGTGGGACAAAAGACACTCTGTGCAGCGCGGGAAAGATTGGACCAGCAATGGTATTTCAAGTGGCATCACTTACAAATTATTATCTACGGTGTATTGTTAGTGCAGTCTAGATATACCAATAATGCTAATGCTTTACAATAATGTTCATTGGTTAATGTATTAACTAACATTGACTAACAGTGAGCAATACATTTGTTACCGTATTTATTAATCGTTGTTAATGATAGTTAATAAAAATACAGCTGTTCATTGTTTGTTCATGCTATGCTAACAAATACAACCTTTGATTTTAATAACATATTAGTAAATGTTGAAATTAATATTAACTAAGATTAATAAATGCTGAGGTAGTAGTTAATGTTAATTAAGGTAGTTAACTAATGAACCTTATTGTATAATGTTACCCTAATAATCTAATATCATCATCCACAGGGAGACTCTGGAGGTCCACTGGTTTGTGGAGATGTTGCTCAGGGAATTGTATCTTATTACCGACTGGAGTCAAATGGAGACCACTGCACAAGATACACTGACATTTCCAAATACCTTCCATGGATTCATGACAAAATGAACAAATCGGAGTCTGGCACTTCCTCCAGGGAGCAGCAACATAAAACATGGAAGGGCAACCTGGTTAAACTCATTTAGTTTAAAACAAGTTGTTGGTTGAATATGAGTTCAATCATCCATGTTTTTTTTTTTTTTAATAAAACATTCAGCACATCTGTAACATTAAATGTGGAATTTTAAAATAAAGGCCGACTCTTGTCACTAGCCATGTTTCCATCAACACGTTTTTATCTGAATTAAGTGATATCGAATGACGATAGGACAATCGCGGACAATAGCTCAAGCCCATATGAGCTAAAAAAAGTAACTTATGGTTATTTTAATAAAAATTATATGGTAACAGGGTTGAAATTTAGGTAACAGGGTTGCGAAAAGCTACAGGGGATAGATACATTATACTTTTGAATAAGACCAGGTCAATAATGTGACAAATGATCAGGAACACAGGAACATTGTTAAATCAAATTTAATAACATCTTATAACAGTCCATCCGTCGGTCTGTGTCAGTTCGTCTGGTAATTATGGTAAAATGGGTTGCGAGTAACAGGGTTGCAAATTAATGCTAATGTTGGCTTTTTCTCATGAATAAAAGCTAGCTATTTAGCTAGCTCTTACTGTCATTTTTAGGACAAACTTACTTATGTAAAAAGAAGAAGAAAACCTTTAAATTGCTTTGTCTTATTCTGGTAATAAGAGTAACAGGGTTGCATTGGTTAGAGTGACACATTCAATCAATGCTGAAAGTTGTGTAATAATATGAAAAATCGAAAAGAGAACATGCCTTTCTTCTACCCATTCTGGCAGCAAACTGCTTAGTGGTGTCATTTCCTGTGAATCATGTCACTCATTGTTTTTTTCTTCTTCTGCCGGGCTAAATATGTTTCGGTAACAGGGTTCCATATACGTTGTGGGACATAACTTTATTGCAACATTTCTATTATTTAAAACATTTCGATCATTTCAAAAATTGGTTTAACAATAAAAAGAGGCATATATTAAAATGTATTTTAACAGTTGTATTTAACATTCAATTTGGTCCTCTAGAAGGTGGGACAAGAGACAAATGGCACTTAAGTGGGTACGAGAGACTTTATTTTTATCTTCAATAATATTTTTGAAGAAAAAAATCTTCAAGTCTCTTTATATTTAGTCTCAGGACAAATGCTTTTTTTTTTTTACACATTAATTGCATTTTTTTGTATATTGTACATAGATTATTTTAAATTTCATAGGTGGGACATGAAATGTCCCCAAATTCATGGGCTGAAATATGTGCCACCAGAAACTGAATTTAAACCATTTATATTTGAATTTTAATGGCTAAACTTGAATAATTGCATTGAAAAACTGAATTTAAATCACATAATTTGAAATTGTACGTAGCATTTATGCCATTATAAATATCTCAATATCTCAGCTCTGGAAGGGTCTAGAGCCTCCATTTTTGCACTCAGGTCTAAGTCCAATGGCCCTCTATCAGAATCCAGAGTTTCAAGAAAATCAGAGAAACTCAAAAATTCGGCCCGAAAAAAAAACGACAGTGGTACCCCTTACGTTTTTTTTTTTTGGGCGAAAAATTAAGTTTCTCCAATCTTCCCAAAACTCTGGATTCTGATAGAGGGCCATGAGACTTAGACCTGAGTACAAAAATGGAGGCTCTAGCCCCTTCCAGAGCTGAGATATCGAAACTCAAAAATTCGGCCCGAAAAAAAAATGACAGTGGTACCCCTTACGTTTTTTTTTTTGGGCGAAAAATTAAGTTTCTCCAATCTTCCCAAAACTCTGGATTCTGATAGAGGGCCATGAGACTTAGACCTGAGTGCAAAAGGAGGCTCTAGCCCCTTCCAGAGCTGAGATATCGAAACTCAAAAATTCGGCATTGAAAAAAAAACGACAGTGGTACCCCTTACGTTTTTTTTTTTGGGGTGAAAAATTAAGTTTCTCCAATCTTCCCAAACTCTGGATTCTGATAGAGGGCCATGAGACTTAGACCTGAGTGCAAAAATGGAGGCTCTAGCCCCTTCCAGAACTGAGATATCGAAACTCAAAAATTCGGCCCGAAAAAAAAAAACGACAGTGGTACCCCTTACGTTTTTTTTTTTTTGGGCGAAAAATTAAGTTTCTCCAATCTTCCCAAAACTCTGGATTCTGATAGAGGGCCATGAGACTTAGACCTGAGTGCAAAAATGGAGGCTCTAGCCCCTTCCAGAGCTGAGATATCGAAACTCAAAAATTCGGCCCGAAAAAAAAATGACAGTGGTACCCCTTACGTTTTTTTTTTTGGGCGAAAAATTAAGTTTCTCCAATCTTCCCAAAACTCTGGATTCTGATAGAGGGCCATGAGACTTAGACCTGAGTGCAAAAGGAGGCTCTAGCCCCTTCCAGAGCTGAGATATCGAAACTCAAAAATTCGGCCCGAAAAAAAAACGACAGTGGTACCCCTTACGTTTTTTTTTTTGGGGCGAAAAATTAAGTTTCTCCAATCTTCCCAAACTCTGGATTCTGATAGAGGGCCATGAGACTTAGACCTGAGTGCAAAAATGGAGGCTCTAGCCCCTTCCAGAGCTGAGATATCGAAACTCAAAAATTCGGCCCGAAAAAAAAAAAACGACAGTGGTACCCCTTACGTTTTTTTTTTTTGGGCGAAAAATTAAGTTTCTCCAATCTTCCCAAAACTCTGGATTCTGATAGAGGGCCATGAGACTTAGACCTGAGTGCAAAAATGGAGGCTCTAGCCCCTTCCAGAGCTGAGATATCGAAACTCAAAAATTCGGCCCGAAAAAAAAACGACAGTGGTACCCCTTACGTTTTTTTTTTTTTGGGCGAAAAATTAAGTTTCTCCAATCTTCCCAAAACTCTGGATTCTGATAGAGGGCCATGAGACTTAGACCTGAGTGCAAAAATGGAGGCTCTAGCCCCTTCCAGAGCTGAGATATCGAAACTCAAAAATTCGGCCCGAAAAAAAAAAACGACAGTGGTACCCCTTACGTTTTTTTTTTTTGGGCGAAAAATTAAGTTTCTCCAATCTTCCCAAAACTCTGGATTCTGATAGAGGGCCATGAGACTTAGACCTGAGTGCAAAAATGGAGGCTCTAGCCCCTTCCAGAGCTGAGATATCGAAACTCAAAAATTCGGCCCGAAAAAAAAACGACAGTGGTACCCCTTACGTTTTTTTTTTTGGGCGAAAAATTAAGTTTCTCCAATCTTCCCAAACTCTGGATTCTGATAGAGGGCCATGAGACTTAGACCTGAGTGCAAAAATGGAGGCTCTAGCCCCTTCCAGAGCTGAGATATCGAAACTCAAAAATTCGGCCCGAAAAAAAAAACGACAGTGGTACCCCTTACGTTTTTTTTTTTTTGGGCGAAAAATTAAGTTTCTCCAATCTTCCCAAAACTCTGGATTCTGATAGAGGGCCATGAGACTTAGACCTGAGTGCAAAAATGGAGGCTCTAGCCCCTTCCAGAGCTGAGATATCGAAACTCAAAAATTCGGCCCGAAAAAAAAAACGACAGTGGTACCCCTTACGTTTTTTTTTTTGGGCGAAAAATTAAGTTTCTCCAATCTTCCCAAAACTCTGGATTCTGATAGAGGGCCATGAGACTTAGACCTGAGTGCAAAAATGGAGGCTCTAGCCCCTTCCAGAGCTGAGATATCGAAACTCAAAAATTCGGCCCGAAAAAAAAAACGACAGTGGTACCCCTTACGTTTTTTTTTGGGGGGCGAAAAATTAAGTTTCTCCAATCTTCCCAAAACTCTGGATTCTGATAGAGGGCCATGAGACTTAGACCTGAGTGCAAAAATGGAGGCTCTAGCCCCTTCCAGAGCTGAGATATCGAAACTCAAAAATTCGGCCCGAAAAAAAAACGACAGTGGTACCCCTTACGTTTTTTTTTTTTGGGCGAAAAATTAAGTTTCTCCAATCTTCCCAAAACTCTGGATTCTGATAGAGGGCCATGAGACTTAGACCTGAGTGCAAAAATGGAGGCTCTAGCCCCTTCCAGAGCTGAGATATCGAAACTCAAAAATTCGGCCCGAAAAAAAAACGACAGTGGTACCCCTTACGTTTTTTTTTTGGGCGAAAAATTAAGTTTCTCCAATCTTCCAAAAACTCTGGATTCTGATAGAGGGCCATGAGACTTAGACCTGAGTGCAAAAATGGAGGCTCTAGCCCCTTCCAGAGCTGAGATATCGAAACTCAAAAATTCGGCCCGAAAAAAAAACGACAGTGGTACCCTTACGTTTTTTTTTTTGGGCGAAAAATTAAGTTTCTCCAATCTTCCCAAAACTCTGGATTCTGATAGAGGGCCATGAGACTTAGACCTGAGTGCAAAAATGGAGGCTCTAGCCCCTTCCAGAGCTGAGATATCGAAACTCAAAAATTCGGCCCGAAAAAAAAACGACAGTGGTACCCCTTACGTTTTTTTTTGGGCGAAAAATTAAGTTTCTCCAATCTTCCCAAAACTCTGGATTCTGATAGAGGGCCATGAGACTTAGACCTGAGTGCAAAAATGGAGGCTCTAGCCCCTTCCAGAGCTGAGATATCGAAACTCAAAAATTCGGCCCGAAAAAAAAAACGACAGTGGTACCCCTTACGTTTTTTTTTTTGGGCGAAAAATTAAGTTTCTCCAATCTTCCCAAACTCTGGATTCTGATAGAGGGCCATGAGACTTAGACCTGAGTGCAAAAATGGAGGCTCTAGCCCCTTCCAGAGCTGAGATATCGAAACTCAAAAATTCGGCCCGAAAAAAAAACGACAGTGGTACCCCTTACGTTTTTTTTTTTGGGGCGAAAAATTAAGTTTCTCCAATCTTCCCAAAATTCTGGATTCTGATAGAGGGCCATGAGACTTAGACCTGAGTGCAAAAATGGAGGCTCTAGCCCCTTCCAGAGCTGAGATATCGAAACTCAAAAATTCGGCCCGAAAAAAAAAACGACAGTGGTACCCCTTACGTTTTTTTTTTTGGGCGAAAAATTAAGTTTCTCCAATCTTCCCAAATTCTGATAGAGGGCCATGAGACTTAGACCTGAGTGCAAAAATGGAGGCTCTAGCCCCTTCCAGAGCTGAGATATCGAAACTCAAAAATTCGGCCCGAAAAAAAAACGACAGTGGTACCCCTTACGTTTTTTTTTTTGGGCGAAAAATTAAGTTTCTCCAATCTTCCCAAATTCTGATAGAGGGCCATGAGACTTAGACCTGAGTGCAAAAATGGAGGCTCTAGCCCCTTCCAGAGCTGAGATATCGAAACTCAAAAATTCGGCCCGAAAAAAAAACGACAGTGGTACCCCTTACGTTTTTTTTTTTGGGCGAAAAATTAAGTTTCTCCAATCTTCCCAAATTCTGATAGAGGGCCATGAGACTTAGACCTGAGTGCAAAAATGGAGGCTCTAGCCCCTTCCAGAGCTGAGATATCGAAACTCAAAAATTCGGCCCGAAAAAAAAACGACAGTGGTACCCCTTACGTTTTTTTTTTGGGGCGAAAAATTAAGTTTCTCCAATCTTCCCAAATTCTGATAGAGGGCCATGAGACTTAGACCTGAGTGCAAAAATGGAGGCTCTAGCCCCTTCCAGAGCTGAGATATCGAAACTCAAAAATTCGGCCCGAAAAAAAAAACGACAGTGGTACCCCTTACGTTTTTTTTTTGGGCGAAAAATTAAGTTTCTCCAATCTTCCCAAATTCTGATAGAGGGCCATGAGACTTAGACCTGAGTGCAAAAATGGAGGCTCTAGCCCCTTCCAGAGCTGAGATATCGAAACTCAAAAATTCGGCCCGAAAAAAAAACGACAGTGGTACCCCTTACGTTTTTTTTTTGGGCGAAAAATTAAGTTTCTCCAATCTTCCCAAATTCTGATAGAGGGCCATGAGACTTAGACCTGAGTGCAAAAATGGAGGCTCTAGCCCCTTCCAGAGCTGAGATATCGAAACTCAAAAATTCGGCCCGAAAAAAAAAACGACAGTGGTACCCCTTACGTTTTTTTTTTTGGGCGAAAAATTAAGTTTCTCCAATCTTCCCAAACTCTGGATTCTGATAGAGGGCCATGAGACTTAGACCTGAGTGCAAAAATGGAGGCTCTAGCCCCTTCCAGAGCTGAGATATCGAAACTCAAAAATTCGGCCCGAAAAAAAAACGACAGTGGTACCCCTTACGTTTTTTTTTTGGGCGAAAAATTAAGTTTCTCCAATCTTCCCAAACTCTGGATTCTGATAGAGGGCCATGAGACTTAGACCTGAGTGCAAAAATGGAGGCTCTAGCCCCTTCCAGAGCTGAGATATCGAAACTCAAAAATTCGGCCCGAAAAAAAACGACAGTGGTACCCCTTACGTTTTTTTTTTGGGGCGAAAAATTAAGTTTCTCCAATCTTCCCAAACTCTGGATTCTGATAGAGGGCCATGAGACTTAGACCTGAGTGCAAAAATGGAGGCTCTAGCCCCTTCCAGAGCTGAGATATCGAAACTCAAAAATTCGGCCCGAAAAAAAAAACGACAGTGGTACCCCTTACGTTTTTTTTTTTTTGGGCGAAAAATTAAGTTTCTCCAATCTTCCCAAAACTCTGGATTCTGATAGAGGGCCATGAGACTTAGACCTGAGTGCAAAAATGGAGGCTCTAGCCCCTTCCAGAGCTGAGATATCGAAACTCAAAAATTCGGCCCGAAAAAAAAACGACAGTGGTACCCCTTACGTTTTTTTTTTGGGCGAAAAATTAAGTTTCTCCAATCTTCCAAAACTCTGGATTCTGATAGAGGGCCATGAGACTTAGACCTGAGTGCAAAAATGGAGGCTCTAGCCCCTTCCAGAGCTGAGATATCGAAACTCAAAAATTCGGCCCGAAAAAAAAACGACAGTGGTACCCCTTACGTTTTTTTTTTGGGGTGAAAAATTAAGTTTCTCCAATCTTCCAAACTCTGGATTCTGATAGAGGGCCATGAGACTTAGACCTGAGTGCAAAAATGGAGGCTCTAGCCCCTTCCAGAGCTGAGATATCGAAACTCAAAAATTCGGCCCGAAAAAAAAAAACGACAGTGGTACCCCTTACGTTTTTTTTTTTTGGGCGAAAATTAAGTTTCTCCAATCTTCCCAAAACTCTGGATTCTGATAGAGGGCCATGAGACTTAGACCTGAGTGCAAAAATGGAGGCTCTAGCCCCTTCCAGAGCTGAGATATCGAAACTCAAAAATTCGGCCCGAAAAAAAAAGACAGTGGTACCCCTTACGTTTTTTTTTTTTTGGCGAAAAATTAAGTTTCTCCAATCTTCCCAAAACTCTGGATTCTGATAGAGGGCCATGAGACTTAGACCTGAGTGCAAAAATGGAGGCTCTAGCCCTTCCAGAGCTGAGATATCGAAACTCAAAAATTCGGCCCGAAAAAAAACGACAGTGGTACCCCTTACGTTTTTTTTTTTTTTTGGGCGAAAAATTAAGTTTCTCCAAATCTTTCCCAAAACTCTGGATTCTGATAGAGGGCAATGAGACTTAGACCTGAGTGCAAAAATGGAGGCTCTAGCCCCTTCCAGAGCTGAGATATCGAAACTCAAAAATTCGGCCCGAAAAAAAAACGACAGTGGTACCCCTTACGTTTTTTTTTTTGGGGCGAAAATTAAGTTTCTCCAATCTTCCCAAACTCTGGATTCTGATAGAGGGCCATGAGACTTAGACCTGAGTGCAAAAATGGAGGCTCTAGCCCCTTCCAGAGCTGAGATATCGAAACTCAAAATTCGGCCGAAAAAAAAAAACGACAGTGGTACCCCTTACGTTTTTTTTTTTTGGGCGAAAAATTAAGTTTCTCCAATCTTCCCAAAACTCTGGATTCTGATAGAGGGCCATGAGACTTAGACCTGAGTGCAAAAATGGAGGCTCTAGCCCCTTCCAGAGCTGAGATATCGAAACTCAAAAATTCGGCCCGAAAAAAAACGAACAGTGGTACCCTTACGTTTTTTTTTTTTGGGCGAAAAATTAAGTTTCTCCAATCTTCCCAAAACTCTGGATTCTGATAGAGGGCCATGAGAACTTAGACCTGAGG